ATTGGGCTTCTCATTTAGAACATTTGGAGTGAACCCTTGGGATTCTCTGGCGACATCAGTTATTCGCCAAGCCTTCCAAGTGCACTTTCGGCCAAACACAGATTCAGTATTTGGGGCACTTAATTTCGCATGGGACTGTAATGACTGATCCTGAGAAAATTGTGGCAATGACTCAATGGGCTCGACCCAAGACCATTAAGAGTTTGCAGGGTTTTCTGGGTCTCACAGGTTACTATAAAAGGTTCATAAAAGGTTATGCATCCCTAGCCGCCCCTCTTACAGCTCTGCTGAAGAAAGAAGCCTTTACTTGGTCAGAACAAGCGGAGGTGGCATTTGAATCCCTCAAGAAGGTGGTTACAACACCACCTACCCTGGCCTTACCCGATTTTTCCAAGCCATTTGTGGTGGAGTGTGATGCGTTGGGCAGAGGAATTGGTGCAGTCCTGATGCAAGAGGGACACCCTATTGCTTATTTCAGTAAGTTCCTATTCATCCCAGGCCCAATTAAAGTCTACTTATGACAAAGAGTTGATGGCCTTGGTGCTCTCTGTGCACAAATGGAGAGCTTATTTGTTAGGGCGAAAATTCACAGTAAGGACTGATCAGAGGAGTCTCAAAGGATTCTTAACCTTGAACAACAGAAGTGGGCCAGCAAGTTAATGGTCTTTGATTTCACCATTGAATACAAACCTGGTCCATCCAATACAGCTGTTGATGCTCTATCCAGAAGAGAAGAAATGAACTCTTTGACAGTTTACAGACCTCCCCACCCCTTGCTTGATCGCATCAAGGAAGAAGCTCAACAAGATGATGAATTAAAACTGATTCGGGAGCAGTTGGTATCAGGGGCAAGCCAAGTGGCAGGGTACTCCCTAATGGGTTCAGACTTGTTCTACAAAGGGCGACTAGTGATAGCACCCAAATCGTCTTTTCACACAGATCTTTTGAAGTTGTTCCATGAGTCAGTAGAGGGAGGTCATTCTGGGATGATCAGAACTTATAAGTGCATAGCAGCACACTTCTATTGGTGGAGAATGAAGAAGGCGGTGCAGGATTTTGTTGCGAGTTGCTTTGTATGCCAGACTCAGAAATACCAGGCCCAAACCCCAACCGGGTTGCTACAGCCCCTACCCATTCCAGATCAGGTGTGGGATGAGGTAAACTATGGATTTTATCACGGGGTTGCCTAAGTTTGGAGGGAAATCTGTTATACTGGTTGTTGTGGATAGATTGAGCAAGTATGCGCACTTTGCTGCGCTTTCCCACCCCTACACGGCATCTCAAGTAGCTCAGGTCTACATTCGTGAAGTGGCTAAGCTCCATGGTACACCAACAACTATCATCACGGATCGGGACCCAACCTTTGTGAGCCGATTCTGGGAAGAATACTTTCGGGCACAGGGTACTCACACTTACCATTCCACCAGCTACCAACCGCAGACTGATGGGCAATCGGAAGTGGTTAACCGCTGTCTAGAGACCTACCTCAGGTGTTTCGCGGGAGAAAAGCCTACACAGTGGCTAAAATGGCTCCCGTGGGCTGAATTTTGGTATAATACCACTTATCATGTTTCTACTGGGACCACCCCATTCAAGATTTTGTATGGAAGAGACCCACCCTCCGTGTTACCCTATGAGAAGGGCACTTCATCAGTTGCAGAGGTTGAACAGCAACTCGAAGCCAGAGACGAAGCACTTCAATCATTCAAGAACAACTTACTCAAAGCCTAGAATTAGATGTAGATGCAGTATGATAAGAAACATCGCAATGGGGAGCACCAGGTGGGGGACTTAGCCTACCTGAAACTACAACCTTACAGGCAGTCATCTCTGGCAAAACGAGCATGGCAGAAGTTTTCACCCCGTTTCTTTGGTCCCTTCCGCATCTCAGGGAGAGTGGAAGCAGTGGCTTACAAATTAGACTTTCCGAGTACTGCTCGGCTCCACCCAGTATTTCATGTCTCGCTCCTCAAGCCATGTCGAACAGATGCAGCCTTGGTGAAGCCACTATTACCTGAATTTACTAGTGAAGGGCAGCTGATTGTTGAGCCCAATGTCATCTCAGATATCCGCTGGATAAAGATTGGTCGCAAAGTGGTGAAGCAAGCCCTTGGTCAGTGGACGAACTTGCCCACAGAAGATGCCACTTGGGAAGACTTCAGTAGGTTGCAAGAGAAGTTTCCCCATCTTGACCTTGAGGCCAAGGTCATTCTTAAGGGTGGGGGAGATGATGGAACCCAGGTAGGTAATCCGCCATCGGGTCACCAGGCCCATATGGGTCGTGAGGCCCATGCAGCAGCAGGAGCGGCACATGCAAAGCATTGCAAGCCTCCCCTGCGATTTGTTTACAACCGCAGGCCACGTCTTAACCACCCACATGCATAGCGCGTGATCATGATGAGCTGACTAGGGGGAAAGCCTATTATAAGGCCTACGGGTAGAACTGAATGAGCAGAAAAAGCATAACCAACTAACCAACTTAGTCTCCTCTCTTCTTCTTCTTCTCTCGTAACTCTGTTTCTGGAGGAAGGAGCTCCCTCGAAGAAGCTTCGTCACTTAGAGTCTATCAGAATCCAGGTCCCTCCGGCATTGCAGGTGTATTTAGAGATGAAAGGGGCAGAATTATTGCACTATATTCTGGGCCGGCAGGGGAAGGAGACTCATTGAGGGCAGAAGTCATGGCTGTTAATGGAAGGCATACAAAGGGCGAAAACTCTGCACATCAACAGACTAAGTGTGGAGGGAGATTCAAAACTGGTGATCAACTGGCTACAGGATGAGGGAATGAAAATGTGGATGTGCAATAACGGAAGGAAGAAATTCAGATGGTTAACTAGAGACATGGAAGTAAGGATAGGGTGGGTCAAGCGGAGCGCAAATGCCATAGCTGATTCATTAGCTAGGCAAGGGGTGGAGAGAGATTCATTGTTTTGGGCACAATTGTAAGGGATTTGGGGTTTCGTGGGGAGAGATAAGAGTTTTTATCTCTCATGAACTTAAACTGTTTTTAACAGTCTGTACTTGCCACTTTCTTCTCAGATTAATAAAATTGATGTTATTGATCTAAAAAAATAAAAAATAAATAACTTAAAGGATTTCGGGCTAATAAGTTTGCTGAACAATTTCTACAAAATCCTAGCTAAGGTTCTAGTGGAAAGACTTAAAAAGGTGCTAGTGTGGTGTCAGAAAATCAATGTGCTTTTGTTCCTAGGAGGCAGCTATTAGATAGCGTTTTGGTGGCCAATGAATTGATTATTCAAGGAAGAGAGAAGGGAGACCGGGTCTCATTTGTAAGTTGGACTTGGAAAAAGCCTATGATCATGTGAAATGGAGGTGTTTGATTTCACTCTGGAAAAAAAAATGAATTTTGGGCAAAAGTGGAGAAATTGGATGAAATTTGCATCACTTCACCTAAATTTTCTGTCCTGATTAATGGGGAATCTGAGGGCTTCTTTAAAAATTCTAGGGGTCGTCATTAGGGGGATCCCCTCTCTTCCCTCCTGTTTATTTGCCTAATGATGATCTGACCCAATTCATTCTCCAGGTGGGAGAGGTGGGCTTGTGGGAAGGTTTTGAAGTTGGGCCAGGAGGAGGAAAATCCCTGCTTCTAAGATTTGGAACCCTGTTTCCCCCTTAAAAGTCAACGCCTTAGTTTGGGCTGTTGCTATTAGCAGGTGCCTCACTAAGATGGATGGATCTTGAGAGGAGTGTGCAGGGGGTGGACCTTTTCTGTGGGCTTTGTGAACAGGGGCAGGAAGGATCAAATCATCTCTTCTCGCTCTGTTCTTTGTCCTCTCAGCTTTGGTGGCATTATCTATCTGCAGTGGGTGTTTCCTGGGTTATGCCCATATCTCTCTTGGACCTTCTGTGGGGTCGGAATCTTCCTAGGCTCTCAAAGTTAGCCCTCTATGTCTGGTTGCCTATTCCAGCTGTTATAATCAACACTATTTGGACTGAAAGAAGTAGAAGGATTTTTCTAAAACAAAGGGCGTGGAGCAGTTAGTGTCTTTCTCCTTTCGCAAGTTGGTGTCCTGGGTTACTGCAGCTAAAGGTTTTCAGCCGAGCCTCCTGGGGACCCACCTGAGAGATAGAAGTCTGTGGAATTTGTAATTCTGTGGCTTTGTGATCTAATGCTCGGCTGGGAGCTTGTCTCTTGGGGACTTGTATCTTATTATGTAAGAGTTCGAACAAAATTACATTACTTTTTTCAAAAAAAAATGCAATGAGAAGTTGAGCGCAACAAGGAATGCAATGGAGTCAAGGATAATGTGATGAGAGACTAAGTGTGATAGTGCAATGCGATGGAAACCTGCGAATAGAAGCTGCGGAACAAAGTTGCGATGCGGAGCTTGTGCAATTGCAATATGAGAATGCAAAGCTGTGATACATAATTTGTGAAAAGATGGGTTTCACTTGTGCTTAGGTGTTGTCTCATCTATCGCACATTGCAAGAGGTGCGATGGCTAACTCTACGTACTTAGCATTATTTCATCTATCGCACAGAACTGTCTCTTTGGCCAGTTCTGTAAGAGTAACTGTTTGATGTCATGCTGTTCTCTTAGCATTATATCATTGTAATCTTTTTTAATGTTTTTCATCTTTAACAAAATCTTATCGTATTTTATTTATTCTTTAAAAAATGATAAAGCCCAGAAGTAGACCTTATTTTTCCATTATAGTGTTTCAGTCCTGAAGCATGATTGGATGGCCTAGATGCCAAGGACTGCCTAATAATAATGGTCCTTGGAGCTGGCTTAGCATGAAATGGGCTTCTGATTAAGTTCAGGTTTTCTTGTTCTGGTACAAGTATTTGTGCAGTCTTTATGTTCTCTATTATTTCACCTCTGCAATCCTTACTTTGTCTAGTATGACTTAAAACTGTCATGATTAATTCCACTATTAAACCTCATTTTAGGTTTATATTCCTTCCTGACACTGAACAATAAGCATTTTTCAAGGTATTCTTGACACTATCTGACTTTGTTTGCACTATTATACAGGTAGTTGAGCAGCATTTGGGCCTAAATGGCAGCCTTCCGAGCTTTCTGGAACAGTCCCATTGGTCCTAAAACAACTCACTTTTGGGGTCCTGTTGCCAATTGGGGCTTCGTTGTTGCGGTATGCTTGAATAATTTGCCTAGGTTTTAACTTAAAATGTTTTCCCCATTAACTAAAAACGACATTGATATTATATTTTATGAACAAAATTAATTGAAAATTACTTATATAAAACTTCAACCTATGAAAATTTAGTAAAAACACAACATTTAAACCAACTTTACTAATAGATGCAATATAAATTTTACTATAGAGCATATATTTAAATTGAATCAAATGGATTATATCAGATTGGACAGGGGTGGACCCATATTCGATCCAATTATAAACAGATTGTATTCAGATCACCCTTAATGGGATCGAATTCAAATTCAAATTTGGATAACTGGATACCCATTTGCAGCCCTAATCAAAAAGGATAGCCCATCTGGTTTTATATCAGAGAGAGAGAAGGGGTTTTGTCCAGTTTATTGCCACTGCAACTGCATGATCATGGCAATTAAGGAGAGGAAAGTGTTTGAGAGAACACAAAACCCTGCCTACAAGGAACAACAATGGGGGTTTGGAGAATTCCATGTTAATACATACAGTTAGGGGTTGAGTCTACCATGTATACACACACAAATAGTTTGTTTTATATACTCAGCTTATGCAGATAGCGATTAATGTAATCAGGTTCATCCCCATGGTCAAATTGCTCAAGTGTCGATTAACCAACTTATGTACTTCTCTGATTGACATTCGGCTGATTGTGATGTTATGAATGATATTTTTGCATAACGAATCATTTGACTCGTTCATGATTGTAGTTTGTTTTTCCTCTCTAGGGATTGGTGGACATGCAGAAGCCTCCTGAAATGATATCGGGGAATATGACTGCAGGTTAAAAATGTGGATTTGAAAAATATGAACTTCCATTTGGCTTTCTTATGCTAGTAGACCATAACTTACATTTAATTTGGTGTTGCAGCAATGTGTGTTTATTCAGGGTTATTCATGAGATTCGCATGGATGGTGCAGCCACGCAATTATCTGCTTCTAGCATGCCATGCATCAAATGAGACAGTGCAGCTCTATCAACTTTCACGTTGGGCAAAGGCTCATGGGTAAGGAAAAGACTTGAAAAAATAAGTAATTTACTTCAATTATGAAATTATGTGCTTTCTAACCTGCTTTTATTCACTGTGCATACAATTTTATAAAATGTTATTCAAAAAAAGATAATAGTGCAGACAGCAAATAAACATATCCTTTACTTGGCATTTCAAACAAAGTGTTTTAATTCTCTCTACATATACAAATGATGACTAATTTGGATCATCAAATTGAAGGAAGATTTGTTGGGTGGACCCTAACTCAAAATTCCACTGCTGTGACTGTCCTTTCAATGAACATTTGATTTAATGTTGCCTGTATTTTGTCGACTTCTGGAAGCAAAATTATTCCAAACATTCTTTATTTACCTACATGCATGAGAAATACACGGAATGACAGAATCAATTGGAACAGTAGATCTTAGTTTCTTGTGCTTTCTTATCACAGGTACTTGGAGCAGAAGAAAGAGAAAGCTGAAGAACAATGACTTGTAGATGACGCTTTCTTCTCAAGGTGGTGCTTCTAGTTCTAATTTTTGGAAGACAGTTTGCTTATGTTCTTCAATTTGAACATTTGAGCCATTATTGTGTTCGATTTGAAACCCTGCATCTTGTTTTCCCTTCTTCAGTTAGTGAATAAATGAAAAAGAAAAAAGATTTAAAAAGTGAAACCATGTCTTATTTGTCACTGCCAATGTCATTTAGGCCCTGTTTGTTTTTGGGATTTTGAAAGGAGGTGGGGGGTGTTCCATTGACCAACTTACCCATGTTCTTATTTCAGAAACATGTGGGACCCATGGCAAATTGATTTTCCCAGGTATCAGACTTGGTAAGTTGAGTTTCCCAATTAAAATGGTCAAAAATGCCCCAGAAGATACATTTACCCAGGTAAATTAAACAAAAAAGAACATGGGTAAACTTACCGGAGTAAGTGTTTCCTGGGAAAGTAGGTTCCTGAAAAACGAACAGGTCCTTAGTGAATCTTGTTTTATTAAGAACAATGATTTACAAAGCTGCTTCTTGCCTAATGTAGCTCAATCATTGGAAAAAAATTATTCTAACATTATTTTGGGTTGTGATAAACTGATAATGTGATTTTATCCATATACAGATGGTGGGTCATAAGAGAGATTTCGTAGGATGTGTATTAGAATTCTTGAGCAAGGCATGTGCTTGTGGAGTAGGTGTATACTCCCTATTTTGGAAAGCAGACTTTTGGCTGCAATCAAATTTCCACCTTTCAGGATATGGTCAATCCGTCCATGCGATTGTCTTACATAATTATTGAAGGTTTTTTCTTGATCTGTCACTAATTGTTCAATTTTCCCTGCATCGAACTGCCTATTAGGGACCGAGCTTCTATGCTGATGCACATTCAAGGCCGACTGAATAATTAAGCCAAGGGTGCAATGCCAATTTAAACCTTTTCTGTTAATAAATTGAATACTCTGTGATTGTGTTATATCATGTATGGTTATACACACTAGCTTCATACCTGACAAATGCAAAAAGTAAGAGGAGTTCATTCGGTCAAGTCCGTTTAGCTCAGTTGGAATTTTGGAACCTAATCGGCATTTCAAATTGACCATTTTCAGAAGCTGAACCAAACTGCACTTGAATCGATTTGGTTTGGTTTCAAATAAAACTAGTGAATGACCCCGTACTAAGTATGGGGAAGTTAATTATATATATATATATATAGAATAAACATTAATGATTTTTATTACTATTTATAAATTGCCACTTTTTAAGGCATTTATATGGGTCCACATAAATTGACCTTTATATGTCAAACCCGTAAAATTATATGGGTCATTAAATTCAACTTGAACTGTTTATTACTTTAATTTAACCATTATTATTATTAATTTATTTTAGTATTTAATTTAATTTTTTTGTTATATAGTAATAATATTAACTAAATTTGTAATTATTTAAATATTTACATAAAATATTTTTTACCAACTGGCTATAATTATTATATAATAGATTTGTTAATTCATATTTTGCATTTAAGAATAAACATTAATGATTTGGCTTAACAATTTTAATGACTTAATAAATATTGATTCTTATTTAAGGTTTAATTACTGTATTCGGTAATTATTATGGGGCATGCTTTGAATAAACA